TCAGAGTCATCTGCGAGGATAGGTGCGGGCAGATGCAAGCGCCTATTCCCCTACTCCTGGCTGGCCAGATGCAAGTGCCATCTCAGTGCAGCACTGCCTAGGCTCTGCACCTCAGCAGAGGCTTTTAGGTGGTTATGGAGGCCATCAGGAGGTTGCCAAAGCACAGCCTTGTAGGAGAACTAAGGGATGTCTGTAACCCTGAGAGCTGTGGCTGAATTTAATTTTGAACCAGTGCTGCCCTCTGCTGAAAGGAATGCTCTTCTGGTTAAATCAAAGATTAATGCTTTTTGTTACTTGAAATTAAGCAAGCAACTGATTAAAACTCTTATGCAAAAAGATAGCATGTGTACTGTTTAAATGACTTAGTTGAAATCTATGCTTTCTCTAAATAATATCAACTTTCCTGTTTGTCAAACCCAGACCATGCATAGTTGGGTGGGTGAGGATTTGCCAGCTAGGACAACTGCAGCTTCCTCAGGGCCTGGTGAAGGAAACTTGGAAGAGAAATGTAAACAGGTAGACTAAAAGCTGTGTGCACTAATCACACTAACCGTGTTTGCAGTCTCAACTCAACTGTCTAGCTGCGTAAAGAGAGCTTGACTGGGAGCCTGAAAAAAAACGTGTCTGTCTGTGAAGTAATTTTTGGCTTTGGTGTGCTTTTCTGTTAACTCTCTTGTTGTAGTCCCTCATAAGCAATCAGGGTATGAGGTCCTCTCCTTTCATGGGGCTGCCAATGTCGTGAGCCCATCGCCAGTAGAAGTCTGAGTAACTTGAAAACTGCTTTCAGATAGCTCAGGCAACTAGCTGCTTAGTCTGCTTGGTCTGTTGGACCGGCGACAGCAGCAATTATAAGGCACCTGTATTAAGCTTAGGTCACTGACCACATTTCCTCTCTAAAATCAATGGATTTTTCCAGTTAGCCTTGATCTTTTTGCTTAATGAGCCCAAACCATTTCAAAGAGACTTTATTATAATTCAACTAAGTTGCAGAGGTTACAGATTTTGATAAATCTGGCCAACACCCACTGTCCAGGTGAAAACAAAACCCAAAAGTTGCTAAAACATTTGTGTCCCTTTAGCAGCTGACACTGTTGGACAGCATGAATTGCATTGACCTAAGCGTGAAACTTTGGGAGCTGCTACCGGGTTGTGGAACCTGATCCCTTGCTGCATTGTTATAAGGAAAATAATGAAGTTACATAAGCGATCCTCTGCAAATGATTCAAGAACCTGACGTGGAGCCAGACCCCCTCACTAGCATAGTCAGGCTCTGAAGTCACTGGAGTTTCTCCAGCTCAAGCCAGCAGAGAACTGCTTCATTAAGATTAGATAATCTGTAGGGTCTACATTATATGTCACTGAAAGGAGATGGATTAGTGTTCCACACTAATGGTACAGGGACACAAAGGCAAGGGAAAATTCAGCTATTACTCTTTCTTCAAACTATATATCATCAAGCATGGTGTTGCATGGAGAATGTTTGTACATTGTATATAGAAATAAGTTTTTTATTGCTTGTTTTAAATTTATCTACTCCTTGAGTAAGCTAATAAAACAAGGGCCAAGATTTTCAGAAATGACCATTGATTCTGAGATTACAAAAATGTCCTCTGGTTTGTCACAAGCTGAAAAACCACAGATTTAGAACTCTTATGAAACATTGCCTGTAAAAGATGTCCTTTGACTAGATAAATGTATGCCAGATAAATGAATCTTAGAGGATTATCAAGTGTGTCCAGATCTAACTATTAGACAGGTGTAGAAATGCTGCTTCTGATGCTCTTCATTACTGAAATAAAATTAACTGTATTAGAACTGGGAAGTATTGCAAGAGTGAAACTTAGAGCATGTTATAAATGTGATTTCAAGCTAGCATGGACCTTGCAGCTTTTGAGGTCAGTGTTAACAGTGTTCTTGATTTTATGGTAGCCAGGACCAAGACCTTTGTGTGTTAAATCTTAAGTAGGAAATCATGGCTGAACTTTCAAGTAATGGCTTTTGCCTGAAATAAACCTAGAAGTGCAGCTGGATGGCTGAGGACTATTTAAAAAGAACATAGCCAAGGTTAACCCGCATAGCTCTAGTGTTGTTTTGAGAGCTTTACTGGAGCACCACTCCCAGGCTGTAGTAGTACTTTGGCTTTATTTCAGAAAGCATAGGCTATAGGTCTGTTTTCTTTCAGGCCACATAGGATTGTAAGCATTGTGAGTGACTGTTCAGCACTTCATTCAAAGCCCAATGACCTATTTGCAAGCAACAGCAAAGCTACTAAAGAGCACCGGGTACACAGAATACTGGCAGACACTCCTAAAGACAAGCTGTATTTTGTGCAAAGAGGGAAGGTGGACACAGTCCTGTTTTCATTAAAGCCAAAACAAAAAAGTGGAACAAAATTGAAGCAACTTCTGGGAGCTGAAACTTCCCTTGGATATTCCTGTATTGCAACGTCTGTGCTATCGCTGTTTGTGTGTCAGGGTTAAACTATACCAATTAGATAACTGTCTGCTTCAAAGTGAAGCTACAAGATCACAAAGCCTCTGGTGGAGCTTTGGTGAAGATTTTGCTCAGATCTGTGAGATGGATCTTAGACCACTCTGGCACACAAGAAAGGTACCTCCAGAATGTCACATCGTAGAGTGCATCTGCTCTTGTGCCTGTTTTCCACTATTTACATAGGAGGTCTCCAAGGATGACCTTATTTCTAACCCATCAATGGGTAATATGTGGGACAAAGATATCTTAAATCCTTTCCTGCCTCGCTGTACCTTAGGCAGCTCCTGACTTACCAGTTGATATCTCCAGATATTCTAGTCTGAGCAATCTCTCAACCTGGGAAATGATCAATTTTCCTGCTTTTTACCTCAATGAATATGAGATCTGCTTGTTCTGACACAGAAGATCTGCATGTCCACTTCCTAACCATCCGGGATATGCATGCCATTCACAAATGGGAATGAACTTTGGCATGACTTGTCACTTTGCATTCAGCTCAACATGCTGATTGTTGTTCTGAGATCTCTTGTTTGCAGTAATATTTTTATTACAGAAAATACTATGCTGGTGAAAACTTAAAAGTTCTTGGATCAAAATGGACAGAAATACACGTCCTTGTTGGATACCAGGCAGGCTTCATGGCAGAGTTGCCCAGAACTTCAGGTCAGAGGAGAGTGGAATATGGAGTTAAGAAAGCCATGGGGAGAATGATCTCCCCACTTCTTTCATCCTTAGATCTTTAGTGTAAAGTAGATAATGACATGCTGTGTTTCTGTTCAAGTCAGTGAGAGTTTTGACAGGAGACAGCATGATCCATCTGCAATGAAGAGTCTGAAGACCTGTTGTACACTGTGGTCCTTGGAAGCTCGTTGAGTGTTGTGTGCCTCAGTTTCTTTGTTGGTGATAAGAAAAGGATGTTACTTACCAAACTTTCATGGATGGAAAATGTTTTTATATACAAAGCTGTGTTACTGCAAATTGGGGCTGATAGCAGAAGGAACAGTATAGCTTGAATTGCAGTTTGCACACTGAAACAATGAGGTACTTTGATTCCCCTCCACTATGAAAGGGTTTTTGTGTACCTAAGTTCATCATCTGCTAAAGGATCCCACTTCACAGGGAGCTGCAGATACACTTAGTTATTGCAACTTTACAAACACATTGCTTATTAAAAACTCCTTCTTTGACTTGATGAGAACAATGAATGCACAGTTATCGCCACAGCAGTGAATTATATTTTTACCCTCTTTAAAGTTCTTTTTCATTTTTAGGAAGTTTTAGAAAGCTTCCGAAAGGGTCAGATGCAAGTGTCTGCTCTTCCTAAGCCTATATGTATGCTGTTCCAAAATAAGAGCATGTGTAGCTTTGCTTCTTACTTTGTGAGCCTAAGCCACTGCTTTGTATCCAGATATGTGTTCTGGAGGTTGATATATCAATGGCTACACCCCCATTGGAGAAGGTGGTGCTGCAGACCATCAGAGGTCCTTCATCATTGCTTCATTTTTATTGTTCTTCTAATAAATTTTTATATTTTTGTATATTTTCAAAGCAAAGGCAGGGGGGAAAAAAAACAGAATTGGTGCAATCCATGTGGGTTGTATGCTGCTGGGAAAGTATAGTTAAGAACATGTGATGTTAATTACTCTTGCAGATCTGCACCCCGTGATTTATTCTGCTTCCATTCCGATTTGATTCCATTGTCTTAGTTCAGGATACGCAGAACTGTATATTTGCTAATGGAGTTAGTGGAGATCCTGTTCTGGCACCTGTTCCAGGCAGATAGGACAAACCTTGTCCAGTAAAATTAATGATAAAATTCTCAATTGTTTCAGTGGTACCCTGGTTTCACTTACTAAACTTAGGGAATCTGGTGCGGTTTAGTCTGTCCATGGATGAGAGAAAGGTGTTTCTCCCTATCCCAGTACATCTTCCACTTGACATGGAGTCTTCTGTTGCTGAAACAGCCTCAATGGTGAGACTTGCAAGGAGAGGTGGGAAAACAGAAGCAGGGATTGTCTGTGTGATGAAACAAACTTGTCAGATCCTTAGGAAGAGAAGAGGTTGGGTGGGAAGAGAACTAGTCCGTTCGCACTTAAAATAGAAAGCATGGGAATGACAAATTGCAGTCCTAGATTCTTAATAATCTGAGCTTCTGGTTTTATTTGTTTCCTGTAAATTTTTGCAGTAACTTGTTCAATTGAAATATGTGCTGGACAGAACTATGGTAAGATTTTCTCACTAGCTGTGAATAGCTGTACACTTCACATCTGAGAAGTTAATGATATAAATGCAAAAGTATATTGTAAGCTCTAAGAACTAAAAAGTTAACTATAGCAGTTAGCAATTCTTTATGACGCATCTCAAGGAATATGTCAAAAATTTGACTGGTATGAGAATCTCTTTTTTCAATGAAACACACATCATTTACCGTAAGGATCGTTACCAACAGAACGCATGCTCTTTTCAAAGAACAAAAACTGATGATCTCTTTTTCTTCTTCTTTTCAGGCAGCACAAATAGTCCTGATTTCTCTCTTTGAATTGAACACTCCCGAGTTTACTATGTTACTTGGTGCCTTGCCAAAAACATTCCAGGATGGTGCTACCAAGCTTCTGCACAACCACCTCAAGAACTCCAGTAACACCAGTGTGGTGAGAGCCCTTATCCTTGCAAACAGCAGAGCCCCAAAGACAGCAGCACGTTGATAAGCTTGAATTATATGTAGCTGTTGTCTTGAAGCAACATGGCAACAGAGGCTTCTGTTCTGCTTTTATAGGGACCGTTAAAACAAAAAACTCTGTTATTTTAAAATTTAATATAGTCAAAACCAGTACAGATTGAAAAAAAATATTACTGAGAAGCACATGAAAGTTGGTGGGGTTTGTGCTTTCAAGTTGGTGCTTTTGAAAATCCTGCCAGTAATGACCTTTTGGCTAAAACAGAGATCCTGATGCCATGGATTTTCTGAGCTTCCCACTACTTTGAAATCAGTTTAATAACAGATATATTGTCTACTAAGGATCTTTGATGTGACCTACAAAGTCTCCTCAGTCTACACCTATTACTGTACGTTTTGGTTTTACATGAAGCTCTTATATATTTTTATTTCTCTGAAGGAATATATTAGTAGAGGATTTAAGTGTGCTTCTAAACCTCTTCCCACCCCACCACACACACACCCCCCACCCCGAGCAGCAAGGATTAGGGTATTTTCTGCTTTTTTAATGTGGAAATCTTGTGAAACTTGCTGGAGTTTGAACCTCCTATCTTTGCGCTTCCATAGGGACAAGTAGACTTTTGTGTAAGCTAGAACTGCAGCATTAGGCTTTCATGCAAATGGACTGGATTCTCTAGTACCTTCAACCTTGTGTGAAGGGAGTCAGAACTGGGAGCAATTTCTACTCATTTTGCTGTGGTGTAAATGATTGCGCAGGCCAGTGGAAAAATGATAAGTTAGATTGCTTACTTATGCTCGTAACAAGCACAATCAGAATGCTTTGGACAATGCGGAAAAATAGCTGCATAATTAAATTGCTAAATCACCAGGGTAATGGTCTGCATACTTTGGAGCCTGGAAAATAATATCTGAGAAGCTGGGTAACCTGGTGGATTGGTAAACCATTTCTCTGGCAATATTTGCAGGCCGTATGTGTTGCGTAGTTAAAATAGCAGATTCTATGGACTGTAGAAAAGTGCACATGTGCTTTCTTTATCCTCAGAGCAGTACCTTCAAGAACATATTAATGACTTCGTGAACCATGGCTGCAGATTTTTAGGTCAAGAGCCAGAACCAAAACTGCACTAAGCTTGTCTAGCGCAAACAAAGGCAATATTTGGACCTGTTGTTGTGTACTCCTGCCTGTGCATTGCAACATGTTGCTAATCCCTGTCTTCCTGCTTCTGTGCCAGGGTTCTCCCAGCAATACCCTTGGTCGGACTCCTTCCCGGCACTCCAGCAGCAGAACCAGCCCCTTAACTTCACCTACCAACTGTTCCCATGGTGGACTGTCTCCAAGGTAATGTGGCAGGCTAATTAAACCACTTGCAAAATATTAAAGGATTTCAACACTGAGTGTGCATTTGCAGAATATGACTCACTTTGAAAGCAAAAACAAGAACAAAAATTTATACAGTAGATTGCTCCAAAGAAACAGGGTTTGAACATGTTAACACATGGTTGGTGATTGAATTCAGTGTTCCAGTCCTCATGTTATCTGTGTAATCTTAATGTCTTTTCTTATAATATTAATTTTCTTTCATAACTAGGCCTTCTCCAGAATCACATTTGTGGGTTCAGTAAAGGTAATAGTAAGTGGCAGCATTAGAAATGAGGTCTTGTTGAGGTTGCAAGTATCACAAAGTAAATGATGACTTTCAGGTCAAGGGTTTCAGATTGTGTCTGTATTTTAGGTGTGCCCTTGTGATCAGTAATTCATCTGACTCTAGTACAGCGCTTGTGCTGCTGAGAGAAGTACTGAATCTCCTGTTCCCCCCTCATGCTTTGTGAGGATGCAGAACAAGCAGAGGTGGTGACTGTGTTTCAATGCTGAATACCTCTCAAATCACCCTCCTGGCTGCTCACCAGCAGAATAGTGGCCTGATCCTCTGGGCAGCAGGTCTATTGCAACCACGTGTTTTGCTGAAGCTGCAGATGCTACCCTAGAATATATTGGTCCACTCCAAAACCTTTTGTTGAGCAAACATGGACTCTTGGATGTTGGGAATGCACATGTTTCACACCGTAAAAACTTAGAGCAGAGGAGATAGGAATTTTAACAGTATGCTGTGGGACCATAGAAATATTGGAGGAAAGTATTGGGTTGTTACCTGGACAAGCTTTGATTCATGCTGGGAAAGCTTAAAAGCTGATGCTCTTGTCTGCCTGCCCTGCCTCTCTATGGGAGGTCACTTCCCTTTGTCATAGAAGAGACAGAAGGAAACGTGTTGGGTGAGGACTGCAGTTCGTAGTCCAGTATAATAATTTACACTGAAATCTGTTGATCAGCCCTGTCGTGACTTGCTAAACCCTGTCTGGAGGGGTGCTTAGACATGCGAGTTCCCATGTGTCAGAAAAAACACAGGCTTTTAGCCTTTAATGAGTAGTTATACTAATTCCAGCAGCATGTGAGGAGCACATGGGGTTTCCTGAGAAAATTTTGGATATCTAAATACATCTCTGTGACCCCTAAATCTGCTGTAATCCAAAACTAGGCTGAGAGGTTGCAAGCCAAGGTCGAGTTGCCTATTACAAGTTTTGTCAACAAAGCTTTCATTAAGAAATTAAGTGGTAGAGTTTCAGGGGAATGGTTCCAACTATGTTGTTTCCTTTTTGACTAGTTTGAGCATTGTTGCCCTGCTGATTTCTGTCGTGGGAAATTATAGACTGAGATATGTCTCCTTGTGGTTATTTTGTGGCTTTGCTGGCCACATTTGCATGTGGCACCTATTTTATAAATCCCTGAGCTTTTACCATGCTTTTTGGGTTTTGGCATTGGGACACAACTGTGTTTTGCCACTTCACTCACTGCTTTTCAGTTTGTCTTTGCATTCTTCTCACCTCTTGATGTCAGGATGCACGTATCAAAATATTGATTAAAGCATTCAGCGTACTCTACACTCTGTGTTGCTGTTGTTTTCTAGCATTTTGGGTTTATGAACTGGAGGTTTTTTTCCCATGTGATATGTTTACAAGAAATAGTTAGAGAGGGCGTGTAATTCCAGAGCATTCTGCCATTAAGTTGTCAAGACCAAAACTGCCACTGGTGCAGTGATCCAGGAATTTCCTTTAGAAAACAATCATTCCTTCAATTTTGTATGGAGTTCTTGGAGATGTTGATCCAAAAATGTAGGTGTCTTTTCAAGAAGTGTGTCCTGCTTCCTTGTTGGATTCAGTTATGCAAGAGTGATGTGTAAAAGTTACTCTTCAGTGATGGGTGAAGGTGGAAGCTGCTGTAAAAGCCCTTTAAAATATTCAGGGGAGAAGTTCTACTTTTTTTTGTTGAGTGACCTCTGAGCAGTAACAGTAGCTGCAGATTTTTACCATTTGCAGAAAAGGTGGTGGCAAGTACTGCATATCAGTGGCAGTAGCTTCTGATGCTCTGCTGGACTGCATCCTTCTTGAAAATGTCTTGTGTAGCACAGTTTGAGCGTGGTCCTGACTTAGAGTACAAGGGAGAATTTAACTCTCTTTCTGAAGAGTACATATGGTCGTTCTTCTTTCAGAAAAAAGGCTTTGGAAGATATGCTAACAAATTATGGGAAGTAGGGTACACTGCAGTATTACAGTTGGTATAAACGCTTCGGTGTCATGTTTCCATTACAAATGCGTATCATTTGCTATTCATCAGTGGTGTAAAGTGTCGCTTTTCTCTCTACAAACTTGGAACATGAGCACACCCAAGTCTTGGTAAAAGGATAAAGATCCCACAGTTTCTCTGTGTAGCCCTCCTCTGAAACTGGGCTTGGCTTTACATTTTTATGGGACCCATGGCCGAAGGGTTGTACCAAGGCTGCGTTGGCCCATTGCTTCCGGGAGTGCTCCATGTGCGGGCCCTGCTTACCCTGTCCATACAGGTATGTCTTGTACAGGCAGCCTGAGTGCAGTCAGTTGAAGGATTCTCTCCAGTTCTTAATGCCAGCTTTGGTTTTGAAGATTATACTCTCCTTTGAATTTTTTCTTGATGCACAGTTTGGAGGAATACGTCTAAAGACGTATTTGGTTTTGGGGCTGGGATATGTGTAGAAAGAATAGTTTGGGTCCTGGAGGAATATAAAAATGCTGCTAAGTGTAGCTGCTCTCCCATATTACTAATGGTTTGTGGACAATATCCTCAGTATTGATCAGCAAGGCTTCATTGATACTGAGTTTCTACAGTATGTGTGTATGCCATTGCCCTTAGGTCACACCACTATTCCCATCTTATTGCCATCACAACTGAATTCCAGATGACTGATCTTTTATTTTTTGTGTGTGTATTTGTGTGTACATGTATTTGAGTTCTCTGGGTAGATTTTGAATGTTTTGGTTGAACTGGACTTTGCTGATGCAAACAGCTAATTTGCCTATCCAGATGATAACATCTGCTTAAGTATCCCCTGATGTTAGTGTCTTCAGAAGGTGTTTTCGGGGCCTTGGGCAGAGTCCTTCCTTCTCCTGCTTTCATTTGCTCCATCCAGTTCTGCTTCATGATCACTAGAACATATCCACTGCATCTCTGAGTTACTTCTGCATTTGTACCTGCTTTTTTTGTCTTGACAGTTTTAGTTTTTGGGGAGAGGAGTTATGGAGGAAGGCGGTATTTTCTGGAGAAGAAAAGCAGGGGAGGGCACTTGGGAAGGCTGAAAATAGTAGGAAAAAAAACAGACTTCTGACTAAGAATAATGTTTCCTGGGCAATGCTCAGATGAATGGCTTGAGTTTGTGTTGGACAGAGAAAATCTTCTGAGATTTGGTAAATTATGTAGTATGACAAAAAGGAAAATACTAAGTTGTGAAGTCCTCCAGTGTAGGAATACCGTTGTGAATGGCAAATGAACTTCTGTAAACTCAGACGTTATATTCAGGTTGTGAATTTTCACCTAGAATTCTGTAGGAATATTTGAAGGAATATCAAATGAATAGGTTTGCCCTACTGTTTCTACCTTTACTAGTAGCCTGGAAACCTGTAGTTCCAGTTATTAAAAAAACAAATTTAGTCCTTCAAAGATCTCTAGAGGAAATGCATCAAATAAAAGGCTAACAATTTTATTTGGCTATGTAAGTTTACGTGCTTGTTTTTTCACTGACAATAGAAAATACCATTAAAAATAAAATTTGACAGTTTCAGTATTAAGTTGAGCAATGCAGGGCATGGAAAAATAATTAAAATAAGCCATCCACCTTATACAATAAGGACAAGCCTGCATTGTTTGGTGGCCCATTTGCAGGTAGGTGAGACCTGAGCTGTGAGACTTCTGACCAGCAGTCTGGGTGTCTGGTGTATTCCCGTAATAGTTGCATGTAATAGCTATGGTTTTTGATTGCTGGTTAACAGGTGAATTTCTTGACACCACTCTTCAGAGGAGTGTTCAACTGGCTTTGCTGCTGTTTGCACTGGAGCAATTCTTGACTCGTTTGCCACTTCTGATCTTGCAGTATCTTTCACTTGTGTATACACAAATGTGACTTTCCAAGGCAGTGTACTTACACTTAATAGAAACAAAGTGGTGCCCTGAATACTCCGCCAGCTCAAGCATCTATATTCTCATTTAGAAGATGATTTTTAAAATCCATGTACCATAAAGGGAACAGGACAAAAGCAAAGGTTAGACAAATTGGCACAGGGATGGATGCCTTGACCCAAAGGCACAGGATCACACAGTAACCAGAAGGGGCTTGTGGAAGTTTGATGAGAGATCTGAATCGACTTAGAGGCTGGTTTCATCCAGTGTTTCCAGATTTGTCTGCTGAGACCTGGGCCAAGTCCCCAATTTACATGATATGTTTACATTCTAGACGGACTTTCACTTGCTGCGTATTTGGGATCAGTTTGAATCTGGTTTGAAATAGGATCAGATCTTAAGCCCTACAAAGGTTTGCTGATTGTGTAGGGCCTGATTGCAGGCTTTTATAGAGGCACCAGGAGCCAAACTTGACAAGCTACCTTTGTGTGTCTGGTAAAAAAATCAACTCCGACTTGCCTTTCTTCCAGGGAAATACTGTTGCTCGCAAATACCTGCTTAGAGTTTGGTCAGGGTTTGTTTACTTAGAGCATTTTAAGAGTTGTTTATAGAGGCTATATCCATTTGTAAAATTTACTGGTTAGTACAAGCAGGGACTACTTTTGTGTGAACCATATCATTATGTTAGGAATAAAAGTGGAAATGAATAATAAAGGCCAAAACAATGACTTGTGAGGCTCAATGGAGTATTCTTGTTTAATTTTGTTTCTATTAATTTTTTTTTTCTCTCTCTCCAAGGCAGCATGACAGCACTAAGCCACTCAGATTATAGTTTCTTTTTTTTCTCCCTCCTCTGTTTTTTCTCTCTTTCTTTCTCCTCTGATCACGGCAGTCGGTTCTGGGGTTGGAGTGCAGATGGGCTGTCGAAGCACCCCCCTCCCCTTTCTCAGCCTAACTCCATCCCCACTGCTCCTTCCCACAAGACTTTCAGACGCTCTTACTCTCCCAGGTAACAAGCTACCTGTTAAACCAACTTGTCTGAGGTGTCACAGTATTATTTACCTTTCACACTGTGGAATTTGTTCAAATGTGGGAAATGATTTGCAGAGGCTTTGGTTGGAAAAAGAAAAGAGATGATGATGGCTTGCAGAGAGCGGAGGTGGCAGGCAGTCGCTTGCTTACTGCTTGGGGAAGATGCAGCATATAAGTGGGAAAAAAAAAAAGTGGGTTTTTCCAGACTTTTCCTCCCTGCCAGGTTCCTGAATGGGTGTACGTTTCACAGTTGGTTTCCAACGCAGAACACAGTTGCTGAGCACTTTTGGCAGGCACTGGTTGCGTTATGATAGCATGGGCAAGGTCGTTCAACTTGGCTGTGCGAGCAGCACATGAGTACTTTCAAACAGGCAAATACAGCTCAGTAGTGATTTCACATCTGCAGTAGTGAATATCCATAGGACAATGAGGATGAAGCTTGCACATACGATTTTACCAGCTGCTTGCACAGTGTGATTGTGGAACATCTTGGAAATTTGTAGTATTGAAATTAAAATTGTCTTTAACACAAGATTTAGAGGTTATCGATCGCTAATTTTGACGTTTCTTCCTCTTCCTGTGCCCTCACATTTTGTTCCAATCTGCATACAGATCTTTAATCAGTTTAGTGGACTGAGGCTGTGTACTGGTTTTAATCAAAAAAGCCTTCTGAATACAAATTTAATTTGTCAGACCTCTATATTAAATTCCTTGGATTTTTTAAAGTTTATACCCTGACAACAGGCTTTCTGTAGATGTAGTTTCTTCTGACTTAAATATACCTATTACCTGAGGAAGGACTATATATAGTCTTCCCTTGAAGCAAGAAGTTCCTAATGAAAAACTATTGAAAGAAAAGCAAACAAATTGTTCTTTGAGGGCTCAAAATCTGGGAACCTGTGACGTCTGAGAGAGAAAATAGAATCCCATAGTCCGTACCTCTGTGAATACCTGCAGAATTAAAACTTTAAATCAATGTTCTGACTCTTCTAGGACACTAAGATATCTGTGGAAGAGATCCATGTTGATTTTTGAAGGTAAACTAGTTGAGAATTTTTTTCCTCCTTTCATTAGCTGACACCAAGCTTTGGAATAATTTGGCATATATTCCAGCCCAGAGCCTGAAAGTGCAAGGAAGTGGGTTACTGTGTACTGCTTGAGGATGCTAAACTGTTGATTACTTACACATAGTTTGGATTGGAAACTGAATAATAGTTTATGGAAGTAAAATGTGTTTTATGTCAAACTGGAAAGCTGCCAAATTGTATCTTGATAAACTTGTAGAGAGCTGCATTGTTTTAGTGCAGCAGAAGATGGAAAATAATGTTGTGACATCCCTAAACGCTGCTCATCTCTACTCACTTCTTATTCATCCTGTTACTTTCTTCTAGTTTTCTGCATGGGTCATAATTTTTTTTTTTCCTCTTGTGCCTTTTTTTTTTTTTCCTGAAAGGTGGGTGTAGTTCCATTTTATTTTTTATTCCCCCCATCGTGTTGTCTGTGAAGTATTCCAGCACACATACTGTCAATAGACGTGTGTGTTCACATGTAAAGTTTTCGATCATGTAGAACACAGCCATAACGTGATCTCCTACACAGGCTTACTCTTGATATGTGAAAACACTGGATTCTTTAGATTCTTATTAAAATGTGGTTTTGTGCTTTGAAAAATGCATCAGATCGGTGGCTCTTTGTTGAGAAATTGTCTTAGTCCTTTAGCATCACAGAGTCTGTACTTTAATCTATTCTTTGGTAGCAGTGTAGGGCAAAATTCATCCCTAAGGAAGGAAGCGATGATTTTAGCAGAAGATTTAGTGTCAGTATATCTGTGATTATTTCTTGGGGGTTTTTTGCCATGAATTTCATTGTGTGACCTTTGGTAAGTCATGTCATCTCTTGGTGTAGGTGCCTTCTCGAATGGCGGTTTCATTCCTCACTTAAATATTATATGAGGAACCCCTTAAGATCTATGAATTAAACGTCATTGAGCTCAAAATTAATGTTTTCGAGATCATATGAAACAAAGGTTGTCCTATCCCTGCCTGATACTTAAAAAGAATCTAAAAACTGCCTTCACTATTGTCTGGAATGCCATCACAGTGCATTAGTGTCATTCAGCTGTCTGAAGAGCCCTAAATACTTTGACTTCTACAGGTTTAGAAACAGCTTTTGTTTCCTGGTCTTGGTCTGTTCTTTAAGTGGTTTCTCATTCTTCCTGGCCTGACAGACACTGTTTAAAGCTGGGGAGTTGTTCTTTGGTTTCTTTGCCAGAATACATGGTGCCGATGCTTGTCTGATCATAGAGTGAGTGCGTTGCTTGGGAGCCAGGGATTATGGCTATTTTCAGTGTGTTAATCCCAAAGGAATTGGGCAGCACCAATCTTATCCTCTGTCTGAAGTTCGTGAATTTCTTACAGAAAAAAAAGTAGTTGTTCTAGGCATTTAACATCCTACTTTTAGTTCTATTGCAAATAATAGCTGTGTACCCAGGATTCAGAAAGGATTTTCTGGTTTTCATTTTTTTCCCACCCACCTCACAGGGAATCTTTCTTTTGTGGAAAAGGAGCACAGCTCTTTGTTCAGCTGTCCTCCTCCAAGCCCATCCTGTCATCCTTCCTCAACTGTTAAGAAATAGTAATTCACCCCTGTAGGGAGCCACTTCTTGCCATTTATTGACAAACAACTTGATGTAAATGTCTCAAATTCTTTTGGTTTATTTGCTTCTGGCTCTACTAAGATCCGAGACTCCCCCAGAGAAACTGTTCTCAGTTACTGGGTCGCTTCATTAAATCTGTCTTGGAAAACTGATTGTCATGCAAACTCAACTTCTCCTCCTAGATAGAGCAAAGCCCTGCCAATAATGCCTTTTCATTTTCTCCAAGCATGTAGGAGCTTCTCTTCTTAGCCACATCTTTTCATATCATCTGCCCTTACATGCCAGGCATTTTTTCATGGAACTTAGTTTTTAATAACTCCTCAAGGACTCCCAGAAGTTGTGTGGCTTTATGCTGCTGAGGAATTTCTGAGGAACAGACAGACTGCAAGAAAGCATCAGATTTGAGTGAGAGAATTCCCAAACTTAGGCTCAATACTGAAATGCATCTTTTATCAAGACATCGTGCAAGTGGTTTTGGTTTTACTACTCTATAAATGAAAATGGGACATGTTAGGCTAAGGTTTATGTCAAGATACATTTTCCTTTCCATTTAAATCTGTCACATTTGAATCCATTGATAGAATATATTTGATATATTATGAAACTTAAATTTCCTTGATTTCATTTCCACCAACTGTCACAACCTTTTGAGTTCTCATAGTGATTGATTTTCTTTATTTTCCTCTTTAAATAACACCATTACCATGCTGGGGATAGGTTTTTTTGGTTCACAGAGGCTGGCACACTCACTGCTGTGGAATGTAACAAACAGTGGACCTGATTTCCCCTCACTTACAGCGACGTAAGACCACTGATTGCAGTGGAGCTTCTCCTAGATTTAACCCTGTTTGAGGGGAGACTCAGACCCGAAGTCCGCTTTGATTCCATCCATGTTTTGTTACAAGTCACTGTTAGAAAGGGTACACCAAATCATCTGTCTTCGACTTGGCATTGTTTTTGTTAAGTCAAAAGTGGATTCCAGTTTCATATGTAACATTTCGTATACGTTTGGTCTTTAGTATGCTGGATTATGACACGGAGAACCTAAATTCTGATGAAATCTACAGCTCTCTTCGTGGAGTCACAGAAGCGATTGAAAAATTTAGTTTCCGTAGTCAAGAGGACCTGAATGAGCCCATCAAACGTGATGGAAAGAAGGACTGTGACATTGTAAGTATTTGATTGATTAATGTCCCCAGATAGGTGAAATTTTAAAACATTGTGTTCAAACCTGGCTTTGGATTGTTAGTGTACAAATTGCTGTATTCTTGCAAGTATCTTTGGCTTATTGGTTGCTGACTTCTCATACCTGAATTATGGGGTCCCACTAATGTAGTCCCTTGCTCCCTTTGAACTCTAGCCTCCTGTGAAATGTGCTCTTTCTGTTTCTGTGGGAGTCTCATGTACGAAGAAAACTGTTCTAGTGTTCCTCAGCGTGGCTCAGTGATGGCTTTTTCATGGAGTGTGTGTAGTCAGGTCTGTAATGGGAAATGTTAGTTCTTAAAATGCATGGGCAGTTTCCCTCACAGGCTTATTACTTCATGTATAGGAGGGAGCTGTAATCACTTTGAGTGCACAACGCATATGGTACCTTATGTTGCCTGAATGATTACAGAATTATCTACCATGAGAGATGCCATTTGTTTTAATTAAATACATGGACTTCAAAATTTACAGGAATCTTAAATGATGATCCTTATGGGTTCCTTCCAACTTGAGATATTCTATGATTCTATGACAGTTTTGCTTCCTATCTGGACGAACGAGTTTAGGTTAATAGATTAAGTTAGCCCTCAAAGCTAAAAATTCTTGGTCCAAGATTTTTCTTCAGGACTCTTCTATTGTTCATTTCATGTTAGCTTGCTAAGCATTATCCAGTTTCCTCTATTAGTGGGTTGTGAAGTTTCCTGAGGAGGATGTTGCTTTTCCTTCTTTTCCCTTTCTTAGCAAATTGGTCCTGTTCCAGAGCTTATGATCTTTGCAGCTTGTGCAGTTTTAGCAATATTAACTTAGATTTAGGAACATTAGCATAGCTTTTTGCCCTATGATCATGAGATATTTTTGGAAAAGTTGTAGTTATGTAGTTTTACTTAAGTATTATGTACATGTAAATGATTCTATGCCTCTTCGTGTTGGTGGGTGAACTCCAAAAAAGCTACAGCTTCCACAGAATTTGAGTAGTCTCATATGTCTTTTCTGTCTGATCCCCCAGGTGTCTCGAGATGGTGGCCTCGCTGTGCCTGCCAGTGATGTCCGTGGAAGCAGTGACATTGTGGAAGGTGGAAGGATGGCTTTAGATAACAAAACCTCCCTACTTAACACCCAGCCTCCCCGCGCCTTTTCAGGGCCACGTGCTCGAGAATATAACCCCTATCCTTATGCCGACACAATTAACACTTATGACAAGACTGCCCTGAAGGAAGCAGTGTTCGATGATGACATGGATCAGCTTCGGGATGGTTTGTATCAGTGTATCTCATAAAACTGCAGGCAGCTTGCTCTGTTTCTGGTATATTTGTGTATGGGTACTGCTCTCGGATACATGCTTGCCCATGCACATGTTGTGTATTACTTCGCATCTGAGTTGAGGCTTGATATGAAATACTCTGTGTTCTCATGTACCAGCAGAATCTGATCTGTGGCTATTGAGAAAATGTTACACTGCAGTTTTAATTTTTGTTTGCCTAGAGTTCCTCCTTAAGCATCTAAATGCATCTATTTTGGGGACCTTTCACTCTTTATAACTGAAACATCTCACTCAATAGCTCATTGTTACTGAGCATTTCACTTCATTTAAGTGATGCTACACCTTAGCTTTATTCTTTTTGCCGTACACTGATGAGTCACTGTACTTTGATCTAAAGGTCATACATGTGATTGCTGGTTTTGGGTGTGTGTGTCTGGGAAAAACTGTGGCAGTTCTCATCTTGTAGAAGTAATTATTGGAACTGGATGAAATTCAATCGTCATCTCTTCCTGGTTCGTTAGAAGCCATGTGCAGATTCATGAGCTGAGTTATGAACTCAGGTGAAATTGTGGGTTAGTTGGATTCTCTTGCCTGCTTGACTTAAGCCACCTGGAATTTGATGCATTTTGGGGGGGGCCCTTGCACTTTGCCTGTAGAGGGTTAGTAATCTTGGCATCTTTGATCTTTTTGCCCATTTCCCTAAATGATTTGCTGCCATTTGTCCTAGAAGTACCCATTGACCATTCAGATTTGGTGGCTGATCTTCTGAAAGAGCTCTCCAACCACAATGAGCGGGTGGAGGAGCGGAAAGGAGCTCTTCTGGAGCTGCTAAAGATCACAAGGGAAGACAATCTCGGAGTTTGGGAGGAACATTTCAAAACCATTCTGCTCTTGCTGCTGGAAACGCTTGGAGACAAAGATGTGAGATGCTCTTAACTATATCATATCCATTCCCAAAAAAAGGAGAATAAAGGCACCCTAGAATAGATTAATTTTTTTTTTTTCTCTGTGTGGTTTAAAGATCCAGGCTATTAGGTCTCACGGGATGGGTCTCTGTCTCTTGCAAAAATGCCATCAAGAACAAACTGCTTTTATAGGGAATCTTGTTTTGAAGTATTAAAAAAAAAAAGCTGCGTTATTATCACAGCTTTATATTTGATAGCTGATCAAAGCGATAATTTACAAGCTAGACTTTTACTTTTTTCACTTAGGGCTATTTGTTCAGCTTGCAGCACAATGATATTTGGTAAAGGCTCAGCACCCTGCTGTGTCTTCACATCAGAGCCATGCTCCATCTGAGTGTTACAATATTTAGGCTTCAAAGCACTAAAGCACTCACAGTTCGTTTTGGGGTTTTTGTTGTTTTGGGTTTTTTTGTTTGTTTAATCTGATTCAAATCCATTGTATCTCTTATACTCCTTGTAAAGTATATGGCGCGCTCTCAGAAATGTTAATTCTGAAGCAGTATAGGTGGCTGACGTTTTCTCAGTTGTTCATACTATAAGCATGAGCTGCTCTAGTCCTACATGTTTAATCATAGTATCAACACACGTGTATCAGAAGATACATGTGGCTTTATCTAAGTACACGTGAATTGTGCTCCTGCATGAATTTTGCAGATGAATTGCGAAGGACATACTTTAAAGGCTGACTATAGAGTAAAGCAAGTGTTCCTCTGCTGAAATGATAGAATCTATTTGGAGTGGCCACAGGCCAAAAACTTAGTATAACAGTTATGAAATTGAAGCAGGTGTTATAAATCCCTTCTGCTAATGATCTTTTGATATAAAGGATTAACACATAGGTCAGTGTTGACTACAATGACTGACTGTTCTTGAAAGTAATTTCCATAGGAGTTACAGGAAGAGAGTCGATTTTACTGCATTAGTACATGAGAAACAGCTTTGTTGCATGGAGCCCAGTTTGGTATCTGCAAAGCTAAGCAAAAGAGGAAGGGCAAAACGAATACGATCTGAGCTTCTTTGTAGATTCATGTAATGCAGACATGCTGCTTTGGGTGCAAATTTGTACTTCATTGCCAAAAGAGTAGGGAATTTAACAAAGTAGAGTCATTCTGATTCTTTCTTTTATCGTGACAACAGTCATTTTATGTGAGTGTTTGTGCAAAAGCAAGCAAGGAGACCAATTCTGAATTTTAGTTATATTGATTACACTGCTCACTCCACTGGAGCTGGTAGAGCGATGTAAGATTTCTGGTGGCGTAGGGAGCCATGAGAATTTACTTCAAACTATAGTTTTGAGAAGTGAGTTTTTCTAATGTGGATTTCTCTTGACACAGCATTCAATAAGAGCCCTGGCGCTGCGAGTCCTGAGAGAGATCTTACGGAACCAGCCGGCAAGGTTTAAGAACTATGCGGAGTTGACCATCATGAAAACGCTGGAAGCACATAAGGATTCCCACAAGGAGGTGAGCAAGTCTTTCAGTGTTACACTGGGAAAGCAATATGGACCTGCTGAAGAAATGTAGGAACAGTGAGATTTAACAGGCAAGCACGTTGACCCATCTTGACAGTAAAACAAATTGATACTAAGTCTCTCACAAGTATGAAGAGACAGGATTTTTATGTGCTGAAGCAGGGAGGAAAAAAGTTGAGACTGATAGAGCTTTTTAAGTGGATTTGGAGCTATCTGGAATTGTAGGCCACTGTTTATCAACTTCCCAAGATTCTTTGCTCATTCTGAGAGAGGCTGAGATCCTGTAGTAGAAGAGTGCATGTTTAATAATTTTGCAGAGCACATTGGGGGCACTGCGCTCCATCCGTCTGTATGAGTAAGGATAGGAAAGGTACTGGAGAACACAAAGCCCATGTTCAAGCAGAATTGTGTGTGAAAACTGAATGGTGAAATTGGGCCATGATAGAGAACTGGGAACTGGTGAGTAACAGGAGAAAATGGAGAAAGAGGCCATGCTGCTGAAAAGAAGCTGGGGCAGAGGAAGAAGCAAAGGGAAAGGTGAATTGCATTTTCCTTTTGTGAGAGAACTCGTATGTAAGACTGAAAGCATTCTTCTGGAGTACAACAAAAATAAAGGGACATGATGATAACATTTGAAGTAGATCAATTCAAATTACATTTAAAGTCAATCTTTGTAGATTGACTTCCAAGCTGGATGTTCTAATCTACCTTGTGTATGTTGCAAGTTTGAACTAAACCTTGGAAAGTACCACATGAATTTCTCTGTATATCTGTGATGGCTTTGAAATCTAAGACAGTTATTCTTCTCTGCAACAGGCTTGTCCTAAATAGCAATTTTAGGCATCTCTGTCTGGAGAGCTTTGGGCATGAAAAAGATTATTGTATAGATCAGACTGCTCCAGAGCATTGCGTAACTGCCAAAGGTTATGTTAGCTGTGCATAGCAGAAACTGTAGTGTTCAAAAATCAAAACAAAACAAAACGAAAAACACCCTCAGGGAAAGAAGCTAACAGGCTGGATTTATCTAAAATGCAAAAGCAGAAAATGTTTAGTCCTTTAGTGAATGAGGACTGCTGTACTCTGCCTACCTTCCTCTCCTTGATTTAGAGCCTTTGCACTCCTGTCATTTTCAGTTCAGAGTAATGAGAAGTAGTTGTAAATTGATTTCCTGATAAAGCAGTCAGACAAAACATTGTGTTCTGAAGGAGTGCCTTTTATTGGCAAGTTTTCCTGGTTGCATACTTCTGAGCTCACCTTGACTCAGTGTCCTTTGTATTTTTTTTCTGAGAGTCCTCCAAAACTGCCATTTCTAGCAGGACCTTCCCAGATTGTCTCTGGCATTGTTTTTAATGCCCCTCAGAATTCACTGTCCTCATGGGACTGGTGGGTTTTATAGAAATCAAGCACAACGTTGAAAACGTGACACTTTATGCCTCTGTACTCCCCACACTGTGTTCTTCATGCTTGTAGTATGGAAAGGTTCTTCAGGATTTGCATGCGGTGTCTCCTGAGGAAAAGCAGAGAAGAATAAGTCTTCGCTACAGAGAAAGCAAAGCTCAAGCCAGGAATGAAGAGATGTGGGTTCTGACACTTCTTTATAGAAGAATAATTCTGAGCTGTATTGCTATCAGCAAGTAGCTGCTGTGCTGTACATACCATTGTAAATCAAAGGCATGCTTTTGCATAGCATCTTTATAATTTAGAAAATCATATTTGCAACTGCTGCAACGAGACCTTTGGGTGACAATTGTCATAGCAGGATGCTGCAGGTATACTCTGTTTTGCTATCTGTGGCTAAACACCTGTGTGTGCATCTGTATTAAGTGGTGGCACTGGTGCTGGATTTTTCATTCTATCTATGTGTTTTTTCTGATCGCTGTGTCAATGGGCTCTCAGAACCATGATGCAGCCCATGAAAGGCATCATCTGTCTTTCAGTCGTTTGAGAATATCAGCATTCATGAAGTTAAGAAAGGTTTCCCAACCTGCACTTGGGTATCTACATGAGCTAGGCTAAAGATACACCTGGGAATATGCTTTAGGTATTTTTACCTGTAGTTGGGGCTTGCTGATTCAGTTAAGTCTGTGAAAAATTAACTGAGAGTCCATTTGGGCATGGCTCAGTTGGTCAAACTCGTAGCCCTGGGCCAGCAGGTCACAAATTCCCATCCCATGGTGGCCCTCCAGCTTGCTCTCACTGCTGACCTTGCAGCGCTGCTCTCTCCAGGAGGGATGGAGGAGCTGCCCTTTGGCTTGATCCTGCTGAGCAGGAGATTAAATGAAGATTCGACAGTTGGTGATTGAAGGGCACTTTCAAAGAATAGCTGAAGAAGGAGAGGGAAGGGAAGATCTCACCGGTTCTAGAGTTTTCTTTTTCACTAAATCAGAGCAAAATTAAGGGCAATGGCATAGCATCCTTAGACTATATATAATAAAATTTTCCTCTGTGCTGTAAAAACTACTTTGAGGAAAGCTGCTATATAATTTGGTTAGGAAAGTGTTAATCCTTGTGCTAGTAATGCTCTGATAGGATGTCACTCCAGGGTTTGTTATGTTTCTGGGCTGCTTCTGCCTTGTAGTAGAAGACAGGATCAATCCTGGTTTATGGTTTGAGATCCTTTGGCACACGACAGGCTTCATAAGTCAACAGAAAATGACTGTTTCGAATGAGCTGTATCTGTTTCACTCTTACTTACCTGAGGAGCCGCTAATTTCCCCAAGTTATTGCTCCCATTTTCCATTATGTGTGGCCCGTGGAGAATCATTTAAGTGACCAAGGAAAACGGAAAGAGTTTGAAGAGGAGAACAGTACAGAACTGTTAATCTTGGGTACCATCTCCAAGAAGTCATTTTACTAAGAGGCAGTTCTTTGGAAATCAAAAAGAAGGTTCATTTGTCTTCCTGAATTCCAATATTGTTGCTGTTCATCATGACCAGGAGGGATCAAATAACAAATTATAACCAACATATTCACCACCTAGCGAATACCACCACCCCTCCTCCATGTGAGTGCCGATACCTAGTTAAAGATTTGGTCTGAAACAAGAGGGTCTGTCGTTTTATTCTGGATTATGTAATTGGAAGTATCAAAACATAGTTGGATATCTTGGGATGCCTGGATAATTGGCTGTTTTTCCAAGTCCAAGATGAAGTCTTTAGACAGTTGAATCTTTGCCATGGCTAGAACTCTTCTGCCTTCTGTTGCTGAAGGCAAGGTCTAGGATCAGCAGAGCAGCACAGCTCTTCCCAGGGACACAGGAGAAGAAAACTTGGTGCATGGAGTTGGATGCTGAGTCACGCCTTGTTGTGAGCACAAATGCAGGAGATTAGCAAAGCACAGACCTCAATAAGGGTTCAAAATTAATGTAACCCTAGGCTATAGACTAAAAGACTCTGGGTTGGGATCCATCTTTAGTTTGCATTTTTTAACTTCAGCCTGTTTTTATACTGTTTGTAGTATAACAGTCTATTCAATGCTGTTGATTCAATGGGGTGATGTGAAGAGTCAAGCCTGCTTCAGTCATAACTGTAAATATTTATGGGGGTTGACATGTAAATGCCTTTCACTTACTTTTGGAGCATTAGAACGTAATTGAAGTTGTGGACAGTATTAAATCTTGTTGATTTTTATCACTCTTTGTTTGGAGTTATTTGGAAGAGAACCATCTTTCTGTTGCCAATTAGTTAATATTAACTCATTTGTTCCAGTGTAGTTACTCACCCATAACTAAGGAGAGATGCTGCCTGCTGACCCAATACCATTGATATGACATTGCTTCAGATTCATACCAGCAAAATGAGTATAAGTTCTTATTATTGAGTATATTAAACCAGAAATAGTTCGTGTCTTGGGAAATGGTTACAAAACATCTTCACCAGTGAAAATCATACGATAGCTAATTCCCTGCATCGGTCTCTGCCACTCTGTTTTTCTCTGCAACTAAGCCTATAGACCTAGCGGATGAGGATTTTCTGTGTGTAAGGAAAGGATATTGTGCCATGTCTTAAATATCTAATCTTGGTTTTTTATTATCTGGAAGGTCCATAAGCATAATTGAATGTAACATTCTTTGTTGTAAACCTCTAAAAGAGAGTGGAAAAAAAAAAGAAATCACAGCTATCTATTAACTGCAGATAATTGTTACTGTCTTGCTGAGGTGCTTTTAGACTGGCCTCTGACCTTTATAAGATGATTTGCAGCCGTCCTCTCATGGTATGATCTGTGTAGGTTTCTGCAAAATTTAGCTTAGTAAAGAAGAAAAGCACTAAATGATCACAGTCTTAAAGGTTAATTGATATATAGTCCATGCTGGAAGCTGCCAAGTACTGGAGCTTGGCAGCTGTTGATGTTTCAGAGTATATGTTTGTGCCTTTTCTAATTCCCAACATATTTGAAATATTTAGTGCATAGGAGAAGCAGTCTAATCTACCTCATCGCCTCTGAATCCCTTATAAAAATCACATTGTTTTTTCATCTGCTTAGCACTCCCCATTGCTGAGTCTACTTCCTGCTTTGAAACCAAGTTCTTAATTGTTTGTTCCTGTCTGGATCAGACTGTAAAGCCTTCAGGGATGGGAGTTTGCCTGGCTAGGTATTAGTAAGCCTCCATCCCCTCCAGCTTAGGTTATGCAGGCTTTAACTATCCACCTCTAGATGGCAAAAATTGGCTCAAAAACATAGCCATATGCCTTGTAAGCCCAAAAGCAAAACCTTGTTCTTTTGCTTAGAAACTTCACTGGCGCTCTGCATGTTTCACAGCGTACGAAGCCTCTAAGTTTTCAGTGGGGTTTTACCTACACTACCTCATCCTCTAGGATTTTCTACAGAGACAGTGCAACTAGCAATCATGGCAAAGTACTCCAGCTTACGGTCCTACATACAGCTCTCATCTAGGTGTACAGATGCTGCTCTGCTGAGATCCCAGCATGTTACACTGATGCCCTGTGTAGCCTATGAAACTGGCATGTTCTGCCTTAGGTGAGTCAGGACATA